ACTGGTGCCATGAGCATATACCGCCACCTACAGTAATTTGGTTTTATTTTCTCTTTTCTTTGACTCGAATTACGCTTTTGAAATGACGTTACGTAGGAGTGGCGTAATAACGCAACATTCATTTGGTCTGCAATAAATTATATGCATACACACACAGAGTTAAAAATGTGCTCTTTTCTGATCCCAATGCCTATGATTTCACAATTTCATATAAATACCATTTCTTATTTAATATTGATAGGCTACATAAACACAATTGAAAAAAGATGGGTTTTTAAAAAAACTGTGATGTACTCTTGTGGACACCTGTTGCTTATTTTGCTCAATATTTTTTCCTATTTAAGTCCCCTTGCCATTCAGCCATGTGTTAATGAAAATGACACGAAAACCCCAATTTTCAAAGCATGAAATTGCAGTTCTTTTGGAGGAGGTGGAAAATAATAAAATCCAGCTATTTTCAAAGCTGAAAAACAGCATTACAAATGCTGACAAAAAGAAAATCTGGGAAGAAATCACTCAAAAAATTAATGTTGCTGGCTATGGGTACGAACGAAGCCCAGAAGAAGTCAGGAATGAGTGGAGGGACTTCGCAAGTGTGACAAAACGGAGGGCTGGGGCATGTAAGAGGGAAGCAAACAAGACTGGTGTGGGTATCAATTCAGTTCCTCCTCTCACTACAGGAGACATGACAAACGTCTGTCTCATCACTGCTAATATCTGGAAGGTTTAGGCACTTCTGCATAGTTGCATTGAAAGCATTTTCCATCAAGCGATAAACCTGACTTTTCATCTCTTTCAGGTACTTATCTATTTGCTTATTTTTTTTATTCCCATGTTTCTTCACAGCAAGACGGAAAATGTGGATGTACATTTCAGTGACTGTGTGTGAATGGTTGCATACAGTGTCATTTTTAAACTGAATCAAGTCTACAATCATGAATGCATACAATGGAACATGACTAAGACTGAACAGCTCTTGATTCTTCAAAATAACATCTAGAAGAACAGGATCATGACCCAACATACTCTGGTAGTAAGTGTTGATAGACTCTTCACTGAATCCTTGGACATACACTTTCCGTGTCGGCCAAATGGAGAAAACTGGATCATCCTCCACCTCTGATCTGCATGTTATCACAATCTTGGCATCAGGCAGGAGCTCGTGGTTCATGATCTTCCATAAGATGGAATTTTCTTCCAAATCCGTCACACCATCAAACACAATGACAACATTATCAGAGTTTTCTTCAATATCTTTAAACACTTCCATTCTGTCTTTTTCCATTGGTTTTAAATACACATCAAACAAAACAGACTGCAAACTGGCAATGCTAGAACTGTGGGGCAAAACACATTCATCAAAGTAAAACTGGTAGTCCAGCTCTCTGTTATCCTTCTCTGTCCAACAACGCAACATTTCCTGGACAACTGTAGTCTTTCCTACTCCAGGTTTGCCTATGATGAGGATGTTCTGGTCCTGCCATTTCAGGAGATCCTCAGGTGACAGTGCTTGTTCCTCATTAGGTATGTAAGCTCTCAATTTTTTGGGTCGTAGTTTTTTGCATTTTTTGTTTTTCAATTTTATTTTGCATTGCGTTTTCATGACAGAGCCAGTCTCTAAAACCAGCGATATGAAACTGAAGTTTACTTGTGCCTTGTCATCCAGATATTTACAGAAACGTTCCCTTTGGTTCTTCAGGATGTTTTTTGCTTTCATCTTGAGCTGTGTCTGGTAGATTTGACAGGGCTTTGTACCTAAAATAGCAACAAAAGCATAACAAAATTGTGTTGGAAATGTGTTAATTTCAGCAAAATATTCTTTCATTTTTCTACTCACCAAATGAATAACTGGCCTCTGTATCTTCCCATCTGAAGGGAAAACAGCTGATCCAGTAGCGTAAATCTGAAGATAATGTCCTCTTCTGAGTGACATCCAGAATCCTGAGTAATTCATAACTGGCGATTTCACCTTTGTTAATAACCCAATCCAATATACATCTGGCTTTATCAAACTCTGTCTTCTCGGCTTTGAGAGTATCGACCTCATAGTCATTGAAAACATTCTTCTGATAAAGATTCTCAATGATCACAGGAAGGTTTTTCATACGAGTAACCAGGTTTTTCCTGGCGTTTCTGAGGTACTCAGTAGGAGATTGCTGTGCACACGCCATGCTGCAGGCATTTCAAACCTGAGGTACAAGACAAAGTTCAAGCACATTACGTAACAATATTACATTTTAACTATATTTATTATTTCACATTTATTATTTTTACACTATTTCCAGTAAACAAAAAGAAAAAGCACAGCCTAAATCCATCATACAGAGGTAAACAGAATACACATCCTGAATATAAATAAAGCTGCACAGTCTGATGCATATGCTTAGGGATCAGAGGTCATAGGCCCTGTCCTAAAAAGTGCCCTAATCCTTTGTGGTTTGTGTTTATTGTGGTGGTCCAAGTTCACACTTTAGTGATGTAATGCTGCTTTGACTGTGGGGTCGTAGTCTGTTGTGGAAATGCAGCTAGCAATGGTACATAACGGCCACAAAGAAAAGCACTTGTGAGAACCCTTCTGAATCCTGAAGTGACAATAGTGTCTTGTGGACTTCACACAGGCACTTGTCGGCCACTGTATATTCGCAAGACCACAAGTGCACATTTGAGACAGGGCCACACTTTTGTGAGAATTGTGGCAGTAAATCACCAAATCATATTAAGGTTTTAATTCTGGGTCATTTATGTTACAATGAGTTTTAAAATAAGTGTATTGTCAAGGAACTCATTTCATTTCCAAATTTGTAAATACAAAACTACAGCACCATACATCTGGAAAAAAAGATTTTCAAATGTATGTAATGAAATTGACTAATTTGTAAGGGAATTAATTATTATTATTTCATTCAGGTTTTGAGAGGACTCGGATCTGAAGATTCAAAGTCAACCTGATTAGAACTGATTCCAAATTTGATAATTTACACCTTATCTACCATTCGTCCAGCGAGACGTTAGCATCCGTGTATATTAACAATTTGAATATCTGTATTCTCCCTGGCCACGGGTTAATACATTTATAATACATTCATAATACATACGTTTTGATAAGTTATAAGCTACGAGCTAGATAACAAGGATCTTTGGCAAGGTTTGACTTTAAAATTATACGACACCAGACAATGATTCTTTATAAATGAAAACAAAAATGTATTGGCTATTCTAAATTACATTGACCTAAGCTAAGACATACACATACACACACACCTACATACAGTCTCTGAAGAATGAAAATGATGTTAACGGAGTTCTGAGGAAAGCCCAAATTTTTAGCAAGATATTCGCTACAGTTCTCTTACTTGTGACCTGAGAAAATCACAAAGCAGAGGTTTGTCTTATGTTTACTGCTTAAATTAGCTCGGCACCAGTTCAGCAGAGATAAGATTTTGTTCATTTACTTGCGTTTTGGGTGACAGCTGAAAAGCTGAGTTTCCTGGTTTGGCTGCTTGAGGGAATTCCGTTGCTGATTGGTTACTGAGGTGACGTCAGGAGGGTGTCCCTTTGGGGAAACCCTTCCAGCGATGGGTTGGTTCCTTGATGACGCAGAGGCTTAAGCAGTTCTGCTGAAAAAGTCTTGAGTTTGCAAGACTTTAAGTTCTTTGAAGAGCTCTGACAATCACGGAAGTTTCAACTGAAGTGTTTGAGTTTTAGATGACTGATCGCTTTGATGGTAAGTGTGTGAGCACAAGTTGGAGTGCTCTTAACACGTTGAAAAGCGACGAAGCAAGCAAGCAAGCACTGGAGCCTGTCTTGCATTGGGGTTTTGATCCGCAGCCTCAGTCCGTCCAACGGCGTGATCTCCCAATCGCCTTCTTGCAAGGCGGAGCGTGCATACATTAACAAGAGGCTCCAATTTATTATGGAGAAAACTCTTTGCGAAGATTTGGTTGATACTTTTATAAAGTTTCCTACTGCGAGTATTGTACATCTCACTTCTCCTTCATTTCAAAGTTTCTCACATAAAATAAGCTTCCATTCAAGCTCAAATAACAGGTATTTTGCATACACAATAATCGTAATAGCTAAAAGGACAAGTTATAATGCAAAGATTAAGATATCATGGTTTCAATAACACATCAAACAGAAAGCATATTATTTGGGAGTATATTGCTCCGATACTTTAAATGATTTTAAATGATTGTCTTATGAATTGTCTTTGTCTGTGACAGGAGAAACGCACGCTTTTCTGGAAAGTAGTAAAAGGATGCGTCCCCTTTTGGAATGCAGGGGGAAAAGGGGAGGTGTCCTGAGGTCATGCCCATGTCAAGCGAGTGTGGATCTGCCATCCTTCTGCTGGACAGGGAGCTCTAAAATTGTCTCTTTTGTTGACGGGATTATCAATTTATGTGTTAAACGGTCATGAAGTCCGGGCGATTCTGTCGCTGCAACATGTCCAGATACCATGTCTTTGTTCTGTTGTTTATTAGCTGGTTTATTTATGCTGAAGTCGGTCACGAAACACACTGACATTCTGTTGCTTAAATGAGTCTAGATGGGGGGGGGTCCAGTTATTGCTGTCCTAATGCTTGTCGACCCTGGAGGTGGTTTGGTAAATCACTCTCTCCTGGTGTTTCTTGTACAGCTAAGCAGAGCCGGACAGGAACTCATTTGAGACAATTGGTGCCTGGCTGACCGTGATTTCAGCTTTACGGCTCTCAGATGGTTGAGAAGAGATGTTAGTTTCCAGGTGGAATGCGGAGATTCCCTTGTTCATTTGTGTGATGTTCGCAAATGCCTTACATGTATCACATTCTAAATTCAACCCTTGTAAAGAGGTAAACTGAACTGCCTCTGGGGATGTTAATAAGTAAGGGATAATGTACATCCAGCCAGTTGTTATCGCAGAATAAAGCCTGTAGCAACTCATAATGTAATAACTGCACGTAATGTAAAAACTCCAATTACATTATTATTGTAATAAAATGTTCATAATGTAATAATTTTCTCAAAACTTAAAATCTTGGCTTATAATGTAATAATTATTACATTATGAGAAATGTATTACATTATAAACTCACCAAAGATATTGTCATAATTGTAATATGCTTTTTAAACCTAAAAACATTGGATTAAAATACCTATAAAATAAATATGGTCTACTTTTATTTGTGTGCACTCACAATATCAACAAAACGTTGTGCTTTTATAAAATAAAGAAATCAAACATGATGCGCTTTCTTCCGTCTCGTCTTGAACAGGAGCGCTTCACAAAAATGAACCGAAACTCAGCGAATTCATGCCTCACAGACATGATCAGGGCCGCATTAAGACCGCACTGGGCCCCGGGGCTATGGCTTACTGCAGGGCCCCCATCACAATAATATATATATATATATATATATAGGGTAAAACAGGGCTAAAGGCCCACCTTAAGAAAAAATGTGCCTAAAATGTATAATTGTAGAAAAAATATATACGTTGTATTGAACATTAATGGAGCAACAGATTTTTGTGTGAAAATAAATCATTAAAGTTGTTTATTTTGTTTAAAAATCATATAAATGTATGAGGTGGCAAGAGGGGCCTTTTATCCCACACACGGGGTAAAAGACACACAGTATTTATACAAATACTTCAGCTAAAATATATATATATATTTTTTTTTAATAATGTCTAAGTTAATACTTGTTCAAAACAATCACTTTAGCAAAGTTTGTACTATTTTCTGCTTATTTTGAAAAATAAAAGTATATATTTTTTTTCAATAAATATGCTGTCATTAAAATGTGTTAATATAAAAAATATATTTTAAAATACAGAAACAAAATCGTTTTAATAAGTAAAGATTTTATTATATGATATGATTAATATCATGTTTTTAAATATGATGGTTTCATTCTAAACATGGTGATTATCTCTAATATGGACACCCAACATAATATATGATATTTACCATCTGAATCTAACCATGTCATGTCAACAAGTGGAAAAGTCAGCCATCTATTAATAATTATCATGTTAATTACCATGCGCCTTTAGCCCCAACAGCAGGGGGTTAATATACCATACTTTTACATATTCTTTCATTATTTAAAAACTGTTTAAAAACTGTTGCTTTAATTATCTAAAATAATTTGAAATTAATCTGAAAATAATAAAGAAGACCTTTGTCTCAAAATATATGCATTAATTTTAGCAATTCCCATTTGCTACTTAAATCTACAACATTTTTAAAAACAAAATATTTTAGATCAAGTAAGCACAGAATCAACTTTGCACTGCTGCGCACGATCACGTCAAAGATCAGACAAATATACACGTGCATCTTGAAAAGTGGATGTTTTGGAAAGTGCTACGCCACATTTTTGTGCCATCTAGTGGTTTAGTATATATATATATATATATATATATATATATATATATATATATATATATATAAAGCTTTAAATAGGATTTTTATACCATATCAAAATACTTGATTATCAATCTCATTATCACAAAAAATAATACTAGCCTAATTAAAAATAAACTTACTGAAGACAAGTAAACAGTCACAAATTAGGCTACAACAGAACAAAGATCACTTTGACGGCCTACTTGAAAAACTTAATTATTTAAAAACTGTTTAAAAACTGTTGCTTTAATTATCTAAAATAATTTGAAATTAATCTGAAAATAATAAAGAAGACCTTTGTCTCAAAATATATGCATTAATTTTAGCAATTCCCATTTGCTACTTAAATCTACAACATTTTTAAAAACAAAATATTAGATCAAGTAAGCACAGAATCAACTTTGCACTGCTGAGCGCGATCGCGTCAAAGATCAGACAAATATTCATTCACAAAAAATAATACTAGCCTAATTAAAAATAAACTTACTGAAGACAAGTAAACAGTCACAAATTAGGCTACAACAGAACAAAGATCACTTTGACGGCCTACTTGAAAAACTTAAAGCACTGAATAATAAATATATTGTATAAAGAAAATGTGCAAATAGACTGAATAGTATTTACTGTATAAATTCAATATACATTCATTCTTATTTATTTTACAAAAGTGATTCAGTCAAGGACAGTAAGTCATTTTCTTTCTGATGTTTGATTTACATTGACACAAATGGTAACAGCAGCTATATTAGGCTGCATTATAGTTAACCCAAAAATGAAAATTCT